TTTTAACAGTAAAAGCTTAACTAACCCGCATTCTTGGAATTGGTGAATATTCGGACAGTCGAGCGTAACTTGAAGGAGCGGAGGGGAGGGGGGTAGACTGTAGCCTCTCTTTAGACTTTTCCGCTAATAAATGCTTTTGACATTTCAATATGTGCATCATATAAAAATAAACCAATGGAACTAAAAAATATTCTGCTTAGCAAGCACAGTAAAACTCTTTCAGTTAGTAAGTAAGTGTTCATAAACAAATCTCGGACTGAACATCAAAATTAATTATCTCTGCAAAATATCGCAAACGTTATTGCGCAATACGTGCGCCGTAATTCTTCCCTACATGATATTACGCAATCGGAATCAACAACTGCCGGTATTAGAAAAATAAACTTCGGTATTAGAAAAATAAAGAACTAAATAACTGGGGTGTTTTTCATTCTAATTTTCAACAGACGGCGTTAAATTTCCAGAATAGAATCATTCTTCGCTTGGGTTGGTAGACTGCAGAACTTTTAGTCCTACCAATCCAGATTGGAAAGTACCCAAAAAAAAAAAAAAAAAGTCCGTTGCTTGTTTTGCAGCGAACTGTAATTTTCAATATTCAAGATTTTGCAGAGAAAGGGGAGAGACCTCCCAACTTCGTATTGTATAATATATGGCCCAAAAAATGAAATTATTTTGACTATTCGATTACTTTCCCTTTATTTAAGCCATTCCGAATATTATTCCTTAGAAAGCTAATCTGTGTTAAAACGCAACCATTTTTGGAAGTTTACTATACTTCAGCAGTTACTGCAACTATGTTATTATAAACATTCACACATATACTCATAATATAAGCATAACGATCATAATAAACACGAATATGAACTGACCAAGCAGAACGAGAATGCAAATTTTTAAGATCTTGATAGAAATTCAAACGTGTGTAGTATTTGGGTGGGAGGAAAAGAATGCCGAATGTAGCGGAATTTTCTACTGCTTTCGCAATTCTTTGACCAATAGAACGACGGGCACCTGTCTGTACTCTTCGTGCGCACCAAAGGTTATGTTAATGCAGAGAAAGGGGGAAAAGCTATTTTCGGGAGTATGACTCACCATCTGACATTCCATATTAGGAAGAAAAGTTGTTTATTTAGTTTCGGCTTTGGTACGGGGGAAAATAACGCGTTCATTAAAAAAAAAAAAGCACTAAAAACAAAAAAATAAGGACTTTAAAGAAAAAGTAAGCACCTATAAGGGCCTTTATATTTTATTTTCAAATATAAGGACTTATAAACACTTATAAGGACCGCTACGAACCCTGTTTAATAACATCTCGTTGGTGGTTTCCAGAAACCAACAGGGCTGGGACAAGAAGTTACCTCTGTTTTTACTGGCTTTTCGCAGTGCTGTCCACAAAACTACCGTCTATTCCCCATCTCAGATGCTCTTCAGTCATGACCTTCATCTGCCTTGTGATCTGTTTAGTCCCCCTCCGAATCTGCCTTCATTGCCAGAGGAGTACATACTAGATCTCCTAGCCCAGTTTAAAGTGACACACACTTTTGCACGAGAACGAGTATACTTGGCGACAGAGAACATGATGACCCAATAATACAACACAAGAGTTACCGGACATCGATTCAACAAAGGAGACAAGGTGTGGTTGTGGAATCCGATTCAACAGAAAGGACTCTGTCCTAAACTACAGTCACCATGGGATGGCACTTACACAGTCCTGAATAGGCTGAATGATGTAATTGTTCGGATCCGTAAGTCTCAGAATTCTAAGCCCACAGTTCATTACGAAAAGGCTAGCTGTTTACTATGGCCATAGTCCGTAGTGTATATAGTGTAAATAGAATAGATCATAGTCCTTTTTGTTTCTAAATTTGCACACTCATTTATTGATTTAGTATCCGATTTGTTTTAAATTACTTATTGCAATTATAGTTTATGTTGTTTGTTATTCTAATGTAATGTTTATTATTGCATTGATGCCTAGTTGTAAGTTTGGCTTCCTGTCCAGAGATCATACAGCCCGGGACATGCAGTCCTTGGGAAGGGAGCAGTGTTATGAATTTTGTATTTATATAGCTAATTTTAGTTGAATTATAACTAAAATTGTTTTATTTCTCCGTGCAATGCGGCGCGTGACAAATTTTAAGAGAAAACTATGCCAGAAAATTAAAAATACAGGAGCACGTATGTTTAACATTGAATAAATGGATATCTCGGTAATTTGTATTTAAATTGAATAAATATAATTGACTACTTGGTTAGAGAAGATTGAAGGGTCTCTTGTATTATCGCGAAGTCGTTTCATTTATGGCTATTTCAGAAAATTTTAGGAAGTTTTTGGATGATGATAAGGAATTTTGTGTACCACAGAGTGAAGGACTTTTTTTAAATAAGGTAAGTGGATATTTGCTTTGTGCAGTGCTTAGATGCACACGACGAATTTTCTTTTTTTATGTTATTTTATTGTTTGTTTTAAAATGTAGTTTATTAAGATCATGTATTTTTTGTCTGGCTCTACTGTGGAACTGGGTGCTCCTCTGACTTTTTAAGTGAAAATTGATCGACATGTACATGGACGAAGGGAGTGAGTAATGCCAAGTTTGTGCAATTCTCTGTTTTTTTTTTTTTTTTTTTTAAATGTGAAAATACGTCAATTTGTACATGGATAAAGTCAATGGAGTGCGTAATGCCAGCTTGCGAAACTCTCTGATTTTTTTAAGTGAAAAAGATTGATGTGTACATGGATACCAAGTTTGGGCAATTCTTTGACTTGTTAGTTTGTGTAGCAGCAATTTTTGGTGCAGAAACTGCCACTACACAAAGCCAAAATAATGAATCAAGCAATTGTACAAAATCGGTATCCATGTACCACCAAAATTTGCCAATTTTCCCCATGGGGCACCCGTAAATACACTCATATCCATAAATTAAGGATAATTCGGAGTCACGGGGAAATCAAACTCTAAAATAAATATATCCCCTGTAAAATCACTACACACATCTTCAAGAATCATATACAAATTTCAGGAAGTAACTAGATGACGCCGATGGTACGTCACAACGACGAGAGTGTAAGAGAGCGATATGTAAGGAATACAGGCAAAGAAGTAAAATTGTTCGCAGGCACTTTATAAGCATTTCAGTGCAATAACCGAACAGTTATGACACAAAGGACGCATTTGGATAATTTTTTACGTGGTAGAATTATCGGCCGTCTGGAATGTGGGCGTACCCAACTGGAAGCATCAGACGAACTTGGAATTACCCAGAGTGTCATCTCCAGGCTTTGGCAACGATTCCAAGATGATGGTAATGTGAGTAGACGTTACAGCACAGGTCACCCCAAAGTTACAACGTCGAATGAGGACCGGTATTTGGCAGTTACTGCCAAAAGAAACAGGTGGAGCACAGCCTCAGACCTGTCTTATCAGCTCTCTTCAGCCACTGGTACGACAATTTCAAGGCAGACCGTATACAGACGCTTAGGGCAGATTGGTCTACATGCTCGTAGACCTGTCAGATGCGTTCCACTTACTGCAACTCACTGTCGCCTGCGGTTAGCCTGGAGTAGAGAGTGAACATTGTGGACACCGCAAGAGTGGGCTTGTGTGATGTTTTCCAACGAGTCCAGGTTTAGCTTGCAGTCTGATTCTCGCCGGACTTTCATATGGAGAGCTCCAGGTACCCGTTACCACCAAGAAAACATCATTGAACGACAAACGTTACGGTGGTGTAGGAGTGCTCGTTTGGGGTGGAATTACTTCTGGGTTCAGAACTGACCTGCATGTTCAAATTGGAACATGACAAGCCAATCTATCGGGACGTCATTCTGGAACAACATGTACGTCATTTTCGGGGCGCCATGGGCACACAATTTGTGCTTATGGATGACAACGCCCGTCCTCACCGTGCAAATCGTAAGCGAATGACCTTCAATCGGAGGTTATCACCCGTATAAACTGGCCAGCATTCTCACCGGACTTGAATCCAGTAGAGCACGTGTGGGACATGCTTGGCCGACGAGTTGCAGCCCGTCAACCTCCTCCTACATGTCTACCGGAACTTCGGAGAGCATTGCTTTTTGAGTGATGTAATATTCCCCAAGATCAGATCGATAATTTGATACTCAGCATGCCTAGGCGTTGTACGGACTGTATTGCATCGTCTGGGAGACATACAATGTATTAACAATCATACCAACCATGTAATATTGGTTTTTTGTAATTTGCTCCAGGGAGAAAAAAGCGCTAATTTTTTTAATAATATCAAACATATAGCATCTTTTTTTGCTCTTTACCTTTTGTTTAATAAATATGCTTTACAAATAAGTCAAATCTGTTTTGCTTCTAACTCTTCCTTTGCCTGATTTTGCATTATCCTTAATTTATGGGCATGAGTGTATATTTTTACTGACTATTTTTTTAGGTGTAACTGTAATTCCATCCTTTTATTGCTTTCCAGAAATCTCAATAAACAGAAAATGCTAACACCTCAGTTCTGTTGTTTAGTTACTTCCTTAGTTACTGTTACTGCAATTTGTTTAGATCCACGCAAACTGAGATATCTGACTTAACCTTCTTTTTCGCTTTGCACTGCGTTGTATTTTAATGTTTTTAGTCATTTAAAGTATAACTACTGGTTATATTGCGTGATATTTTGAACACTTGTACGAATATAATTTAAATAGAAATTATCAAATTAGAATGAAAATAGAACTTGCATGAGGAAATATTGCAAAATACAGTTCAACATGTTTTGCTTATCAGATATTTTCAAAAACTCTCATTTATATGCTGCAAGAGCAGACAATTTTTCATTTACGGAACAGAAAACATTTAGAAAATTAAAATATATTATTATATTCTAAAATTAAAATACGGTAAATAAAAATCAATATGTTTAATTTTAAAGTTTGTCTAAAACATGCAATCATAAAATAAATGGTCTAACTTCCATATCTGTATGTTATAGTAATTCGAATAGCAATATAAAATAAGGCTTACATGTGCAACCCGAATTCCAGTGCAAAGGTTTATATATCCTTTAGGTTGAACCTGGTGGAGTTTTGACAAGATTCTTCCCACATCTGTAGTTAAAGTTGCAAGAACTTCAGGTCTGAAATACCAAAACATAACAAAATTTTATACTAATCATGAAAAATTTAATACATCTGATCCTAATGCATTTATTTACTTTTCCAATACATGAAATATTTTTGAATTGCAATACATGAAATATTTTTGAATTGCAATACATGAAATATTTTTATAAGTAGGTTTGGTTAAATTATTTGAACATGGCAAAATATGTTAGAGCGAATCTGTCTAAGAGAAAGAACACAAGGTGCAACCTCCATTGAAACTGTTAGTAAGTTTTCTAATTACAATTTGACCATCTTTTAGGATAAAAATGGGCAGTATATATTTTGGGATACTCCTTGGATTATCACCAAGCTGTTTTATTTATGGTAAACTGAGTATTTTATGGTGTATGTCTTTGAAACCCTATGAGTGATTAATTGCAATGTGTGATTGCACTGATTTTGATTATTTAGGAGATTATTTCTCAGGGCTTATTTCTGCGTAGGATGTCAGTTAGGAAGTACGTTGCTTATTTTGTGCGTTACACAATAAAATGGCTGCCGGTGCTACTATTAACCTGAAGTTCCTGTACAATTTGGAATGAAAGCACTGATTGACTGGTGTACAAATAAAGGTTTAAATGGCTTGGTTGACATCTAAGTAAATTATGCTATGATATTTAAGAACTTGGAAACCAGAGCTCATATGAACACTATGGAAGGTATGTGCGGTGGGATAAAAAGGGACCTTTCAAAAGAAATGCCACCTACAGTCCGGCACAATGGAGGGATATTTATGATTCTTACTTTTGTGACAATTTATGTGGTGATGGCAGTATACAGCTTCCAGTTCAAATTATTTTAAACAGTTTTTGGATGCTGTTAAGAAATTCTGTTCTTAACAGCCACGACGAAGACACTGAAATTTCAAAACAAGGTAAGTCGATATTTCCTTTTTGGACTGCGCAGATTAAATAACATGTATTTCCATTTTTATGTTATTTCCTTGTTTTATTTTGATTTCAAATGCAGTTTATTGAGATTATACTTATTTGTGTTTTAATTATGTTTCGGACACAATTTTACTTGGGAGGGCGTTGCATGTGTACAGGAATGGCACCAAAAAAAAAAAAAAAAAAAAAAAAAGAAATAAGGGAAAAAATTAATCGCCAATTTTCACCAAGTGAGATCATGCAATATATTTCTCCCATAAAAATATAGAGTTTAGAAGGAATCACTTCAGAAAAGTTCACTAATAATTATACCACAGTTCATAATAATTAGTACGTGATGGATAGCTAAATTGGATGCTGAACAAGCTGGTGAAGGCACATGAAGTAAAACAACTCATAGTTCTTGCCCAAAAACTAGAGGTCAGAAAGTACATACAGCTCCTAAAGTTTGACACAAATGGCAGTTTAAACCAAGTAGGATCAGATTTAAGAGGGGGGAAGAACCTATTGCACCTATCGTTGGCAATAGCCTTGAGCACCATATAGGTGACAGTACAACTTTGTTCAGTTCTGCTCCCAATTTTGGTGAAGAGCACCCCAGGGGGATGGGTCCGAGTGTCTCTACCACCAATCCATATATAAAGACTTTCGGCTCGCCATATATTTAGAGTATCCCCATGCTAGAAAAATACTACAGTACAAAGTCCGTAATCCGGACGTCCATTATCCAGACCTCAAAGAGACAAACTTACGTATGCGTGTAATGCGTTTACGGCTGGGCATAACGCAATTTAATGTGCGCGCCTGCTACGCACGCGCGTAAAGTGTTTAACCATGTGCACTTCTGATAGTGAAGAAAGTGACAGAGAGATATTTCGATTGACAAGTTAGTCGATATTCTCGATACAGTAATTACAGGACTTGAACAGTGGAACCTTGTAACTGAACAAGAAATTATGTCTGTTTATAGAATTAAAGAGAAAGTATTATCCCATAAAACGAAGCAACTTAAACAACTTACATTGAAAGAAATGTTTAATAAAGTAAACAAATAAATATTAAGTTTTTTTTTTTTATAATTTTGATACCCTTTAGATCATAATGTTCTTTATTTCATAAATTACGGTTTCATATTTTTAATTTTAGAATTTCTGCATGCCATCTTACCAGATTTAAATTGATGATCTTAATCCGGAAAAACCCCTAATCCGGAATCGCCGAAGTCCCGACGAGTCCGGATTATGGACTTTGTACTGTATTACATTTACAAACATCCATGCCTTCTCCGGGATTCGAACCCGGTCCCGTCGGCACAGCAGTCAGTGTCACTAACCACTATCCCACTTGGGTGGGGAAATTATGAAACTCAAAACTTATATCTTTATTATAAATGTGTTTTTCTTATGAAATTGAAAACTTGGTCCATTACAGGGCATTATACTCTTGATTTAACTGTAAACGTCAGATAGGAATATTGGACTTATGCTGTTTGTATGTGGGATGGGTAGAGGGGTCACATTAAACTTGGGCAGCAGGGCAAAAGACTACCATGTTGATAGAATCTTGAGTGTTGTTGATCTGAAATTACTACTGAATTATTTTTAAACAGATTTATTATTATACCTTCTGCTAAGATTGCTTCTAAAATTCTTAGGTACCCAAGACTGAAGATACAAATAATTGTGATCTTCATCATGGGTTTTCAGAAATCACCTTCATACTATGGGTATTTTTCAACAAAACCCTATATGCCCTACATAAGAAGACCAAGACCCTTATAAGAAATACTGTAAGAACAACGAAACAGCATGCCATCTTATATATGTGATCAATGGCGGATAGGGGCAGCGAACAACTGGCAAATACCCGATGGACAGCAGCGATTACGGCCAATCAAATCGGCAATGATAACTCGGCAAGACAGCCCTGCAAGTGAGGGAACATGCGTAGAATTAATACTTTCACTAAAAGGTATATCTTCCAACAATATACAAAATGCACAGATATGACGAATAGCAAAATCTACTCTGGATAAATATCAAGTTTTAGCATAATTTTGTCTGCTCACATATATTTGAAAATATTTCAATATACTGAGATAGTTAACGAATCATTTGCAGCCTGAAGGATTACATCCTAGCATATAATATGGTTAGGGAGGCTGCAAACTCTTTAAAAGCCATTTATAAAAACTTCGGTTTAATATTTAACGCACCAAAATCATTTGCAACGGATTCAAATAATAAACTAGAAAGGCTAGGTTATTAGGTTGTGATATAATTACAGAAGAAGTACTACCTGTTAGAAGACGCCGAAAAGTGAAACAAATGGACGACGAAGGATTGTCTGACTATAATTTCAGTTGCCCTATAAAACAATTCGAAGTTACTGTCTTTAATTTTATAATGGATAACACCATTTCATCAATGGAAAGTAGGTTTTCGAAGCCATTGTCGCCGAACACTTTCGACTATTTATCTATATTATTAGGGTACTATTGCAGGTGTAATAGTTGATATTCTTAAGGATGAATATCAGGACCTAGTAATTAAATGCAAAAGAATTCAACTGAAAATCGGTATTTTGAATCTGATACTGAGTCAGAAGGAGAAAGTGCTCTATCTATTAATGATCAGTCATCCAAACTTAAATGCAATTTTTGAAAAAACTGCGTTTTGTGTGTATATAAATTATTCTTGAAATATAATTTATGTAGTAATGCGTATGCCAGGGTTGCTTTTGCTTGTAAGTTTGTACTCACCCTATTTACAACGCAAAGTGAATGCGAAAAAGCTTTTTCAAAATTAAAAACTGTAAAATATAGACTGCTTAATTTGTGGACCGAATCGCTTAAATAAATAAATAAATAAATAAAACCTCCAATGAATCAACCATTTCTTGTAAGATAAATGTCTTTGTTGACCCTGAATCTAGCATACAACGTAATACCTTTTCGCTCCCACCTTTACATCTCACTGTCGCCAAAAACGTCTATAAAAGAACAGAAGTTGGAGGTTTAATTTTGCTATTATTTTCATTACATTAGAGCGAAAGAGAAGCTTCAGAGATTGGCATTTGTTTTGTCTGATTGGAGGTATCTGCCTCTAAATCTTACGCTGTGGCGTCACATATTAACGAATTATGTAAACCCTGGACATTGCAGTCTGCACTTTTCATCTTTATGAGCACAGAAATACCTTGGATGCCCTTTCGAAAAGCAAATAAAACATAAACCTTGATCCATTAATGCCTTTCAGCGAGCCTTTAAATCAAGTAGGCAATCATGATTCATGTGACAAGCAAATAAACAAACAATGCAGACATTTTGATTCTCTTTCTTAAGGCGGGTACAGAACTTTCGATTTTGATCAAAACGCGATTTTCCCAGTATTTAACGGGAGTTTCGCTTTGACTAGTTAACACTGAAGCAACTTGCTTATTCATGCTGTAATCATATCTTTTAGAATGTATGTAAGATTTATTTCGATAACCTTGACGGGAGCTTTAATTTCGTACTGATGGTTCATTTACATCAAAATTCTTAGAACGCGCTAACATCATTGATGTTTCCCTACATTCCACTTCCATTTTCAAGAACGTTAGTAGTTCATTAACATCGAAATTTTGTTTATCACTTCTTTTCCTAGTGAATTCTAGAGTTAAATTCTCGAGTATTAACTTAACAAAATAGCGGATAATAAATGAACATAAGAACCAATAGTGGCATTTAAAGAATTAAAATTTCTTATTTGTCTTTCTACATCGTCATAAAGCTTCTTCAAAGCAGCAGTATTTCAGGAACATTTTACAGGTTCTAAACTCAACAATTTATTCATATAAGCATTAATTAGCAGATCATATCTGCCGAAACGGCTTTTTAGTATATCAACAGCCACTCTATAGTTTTCACTAGTAAATGAAATCCACTAATAGCATTTAAAGCTAAACCTCCCCAAAGCGATTTTAAATAACAAAACTTATCAACTGAACTGAGACTTTCGTTTTGGTGAATGGAATTACAAAACTGATTCCAGAATTCAAGCCAAGAACAAGGATCATCATAGTACTTTGTAATCGTTAAT